TTTCACCGGGCAAAAACCGTATCCAGGATATTCTTAATCGGCGGCGATAGTTTTGGCGCTAAAAAAAGACGGAGAAATGCGCCCGGGGATGCACTCGCAGTGGTGTATTATGTAATGTTCGACGTTCCGTTACTCGAAATGTGCATTGTTTAAAACAATATCTTTACCGTAGGTAAGTGGTTACAGTGTAAACCCATTGGGCACGATACTATAGGCATATACTTTAATTTTTTTTTTTTCGACAGGCACCTATCACTGTTGTTTTCGTTTATAATTTTCCCACAAAACCGATATCCAAGAAAACATCTAAATATTACCTAGTATATTATAATAGTATGCCTATATAGATTTGATCGTGTTTATTGCCGAGACTATTTCATTTTGTTTTTATTTATCGTCCACAGATTATCCATCCTCGATTTGAATATATAAAAATACGCCTATTATAAAACCACGCTTGAACTTTAAAATTTGCATAGTTATTCGTGTTCTTAAATATATATTTAAACACTTAAGTTTCTATTTGAATCATATGTATTTAGGTATAACATTAAAAGCCTAATATTGTATAGGTATTATAATAGGTACCTGCTACCTACTTATTTTTTAATTTAATCATATTAAATATACAACTTTTAAATTGATTCGATTGGCATTCAAGAATGATAATTAAAAATATCATATTTACCTACTACACTTCCATTATTCATCTATTTAAAACATTCTTGTAGAATTTTAATTGTTCATTTATTGTTATGGGACACGCTTAAACATGTTTTATTCCATTTAATAACCTAAATGTCCAAGTAGTTATATTATAAATTAAGCATTAATAACAATAATATTATATTATTATAATACCATCAGCATCGTTCTTATAAGATTAGCGGCTACTGAATTATTAGCACATAATCCTACAAGTAAACAAAAATTTATCGTGATTCGTAATTAATTTCACCATAGTAACCAACCTAATTACTCGTATATTATTTACTTTTGTCTGATTATTATTTTCTAAATGTGTATTAAATGTAACTTTTTTATAATAATATGTCGAGTAACGTTAAGAAGCAAAAGGATTACTTTTTCTTAGCTATAATAATAATTATTAATCAGGAATAAAGATTTCAAAGATTAGAATATACAATAAGTATAAGAAAGTGCTGAAATATCTATGTAAGAAGTCGATTCTACTGTAATATAGCGTTGTATTAAATAGATTTTTCGGTTTCTCATGATTGGTGATTGTTAAATTTTAGTTGAAATTGTACAATACTATTAATAACTAATGAGCATAAGCATTATAATATTTAAAATATTAACTTATTTCTATTATTTTATTTCTTAAACAGTATAATTAATTCGGAGATAGCAAAGTCATATATTTCGTCATTTGAGTCATTGTTATAGTGACAGTTTTCCTTACATAATTCAAAATACCCTCGTTTGAGTATTTAGCTCAGAGAGATAAAGATTTTCAATGCATAAAGCTTTTCGTGAAAATGACTCAAATGACGAAATATATGACTTTGCTATCTCCGAATTAATTATACTGTTTAAGAAATAAAATAATAGAAATAAGTTAATATTTTAAATATTATAATGCTTATGCTCATTAGTTATTAATAGTATTGTACAATTTCAACTAAAATTTAACAATCACCAATCATGAGAAACCGAAAAATCTATTTAATACAACGCTTTTACAATATTTTTGGTTTTACCTTAAGTTATAATTTATTTCAACTCGTTTATCTTTTCGTAAAATGTTACTGAAGGAGTTATTACCTACTCATACGTTACTGTCAGTAACGGTTTGGTGGACGTTAAATAAAAATAATAGTTACAAATATTGTGCATGAATATTGTTAATTTGGTACTCAAAATACACACAATAATATAATATACATTTTTTAAATCAAGGCAAATATACCTACATTTATAATAGGATTTTTTTTATAGTATTGTATATTATATTACACTATTCATTATGAACATAAAATACATCTAAATAATTTCTTTGGATGAAATTGTTTTATAGTCAATACTTAGCTTAATTAAAGACATTTAAAAAAAAGAAAGGCAACAAATTATAATTATTTGCTTATGCATTATTTTGTACTGGCAAATAAAAATATTATTACTACCCCGCAAATGTATTATATTATTTAATTCATATTTATATAGGTACTTAAGAAGACTCTTAGATCGTATGAGTTTGTATAGTATTATTTAGTATTTCGTATTTACTTTTGACACGGTACGCGTCACTTTTTAAGAGCCAATATTTGCATTACACGGTTTCATGGCTTTCGGGAATAGAAATAATTACTATACAGACGAAACAAATTGTAAGTCACAAAAATGGTAAATATATTGAAAATATTTAAATTATTCAATTATTTGATAACTCTGTAATACAATAAATTTTGTTCTGTGAAAAAAAAAAATAATAAAATGAATGCATTGTATATCGACAAAACGACAAAATTAAAAAAAAAAAAAATTACGACATGCCTATTATAGTCGCACCAATATACCAGACAAATGAATACTTTAAATACTAATGAATTTCTAGACTGAAATCCGAAGGTACACAATGAACGTACACATACCCAATTTGTCAAACTTTTTACGTTCTTTTTATTTCCCTGTAAAAAATACATTCAGTAAATAGTACTCCGTAATTTATTATTATAATTCTTATTTTTCGAACAAGGTTCAAGCATATTATGGTCGCTGGATTTAAAAAAAACCATTTTTAATACAATAATAATAATATTTTATATATTTCAGTAAGTTTATAAAATAATATTTTATTTATTTATCGATTATAGACTCCATAGATTACTGTGAATCAACATAGTTTTAAATTAAAGGAACAAATAACAAATAATATAGATATTTAAATGTGAGTTGCAAAAAATTATATTTTTTAATAGTTTTTACAATTAATTTAGAAGTTTGTTTCAAATATCAGAGTATTTTCCTAAATACTTAAATATATTGATTTTTGAAATAATTACTGAAAGTATGAATTTTCTTGATAATAGTATTTTCTCATTTTTTCTAAATAAATTACCGATATATAAAGGCATCAGATAGTATTTTAATTATTTTGGTTTTTATTCAATGATTGATTCTGAGGTTAAGTTGAAATTCTAAAGATTTTGAAAACTTTCAAAAATAGATTCATAATATATACAACGAAAAGAAGTCTCAACATTCGAATGGAGCATTAAAGTCTCCCAACAAAAAACTAAATTAAATGATTTGAGCGAGACGGTTTTAAAATGTAGTTTAATGAATGGAATGTAGTTACCTATATATATAATGTTCAACAGTTTTTTTCATTTAAACTTAACAACTCACACGTGCAATGTTAACATTATTATTACGATGTTGTTAAATTTTTTAACAAAATTATAAGTATCTGATTATAATAATATATATTTATTTTTAGGAACAGTTCGTAACATTATCAATAGTTTAAGTAAAAACGTGTACCTTATTATTAGTTTCCGTAAGTAATTTATAATGTTACAGTAAAAATGTATAAATAATATTATGTAGATATATTCATTTCATTGTTGTATGATTATATTTTTTTGAAACACGTGTTTATTTGGGTAAAAACGATCTATATTGGCTGTATTATAATATTCGAATAGAAGATACTGTAATCGCACGAAAAAGATAGATAATTTTTATTAATATCAACGTTATCGATACACAAGCCTAAATTGCGTGGGAAACGTACATTTATTATATTATAATATATTATTACTTATACTGTACAGTGTACACTACAATAATTTATCATCAAAGTGAGCTTTGATTTAGATGGTTTCAACAAATACTGTTTACAATAATATAATTATTAATTATAATACTATTATATCCTATTGATATGTAAAATATGATAGTTTAAATGTGTATTTATTCTTCATTCGTTTTTATAATGCTTACAATAACTTAAAGTAGATAAAAACTTCCATTTTACGTCTTACAGAAACTTAATATGTAAAAATATAAAAATAATAAGTAACAGTCAACAGGCAACAGTCATTAACTTTACTCATCGTAAAAGTAGTCACTCATTTCGTGTATTTTTTGATTTGAGATTGTATCTTTAGGGGGAAACGATCGTTTTCGGTATTTAATACCACAATTAACATAACAAGTTTCTTTTTGAGAATATAGAGTTTAAAAAATACATTTTGAAATTTAAGCAAATGAATAAGCAAATGATATTAATTTTTTACTTCATAAAGATGATCCATGATCATTCCTAATGGTTAATTTTTTTTTTAATTTTCTACGTAACAAAAATAATAATACGTCGTCTACTACTAATACCTATATATTTAAATTAAGTTGTGAAAATTATATGTATAATTAATAATCATAATTTAATTGCTTTGTTAACCATAATATGATGGTTATACTTCTCAGATTACTGTTTCACAATACGTTCCAAATTATTTCAAATAAAGTGGACATGATTATTATGATTATATTGTTTTTAAATACATATGCCTAAACATGTTTAATGCCATTTTATTAAAAAAATTTTCATCATACAACTTAAAATACGTTCAACATATTATATTGAAATTTTATAGCTTAGATCGATTCACCATCGTTTAATTTTTTAACGGTAGGTACATGACGTATAGGTATATATTTTTGACTAGAAAATATAAAAACAAATAACTAAGAAATAAAAGTAAGTATAATATACTAAAAATTTAAAAGTTTGATTATTACTTCCATTTGTACAAAACTTATATAATATAATACCATTATTTTTTTATTTTTATATACATTTTTAATGAAAATAATGTTATTAAATGACGACCCTCGAACAAATTAAAAAAAATTCTATTTTTAAATAGAAAAAATAATCCTAATCGATAATCATACACCTACTTAACTCTAATACGAGATGCGATATTATTATTATATTATTTAAAGTTAAAAAAAAAAATGCATCTTACCTCTCGTGTCTGAGCACGTCCATTTAGAAGGCACGTCGGACTGCGATCGCGGCGTTTGCCTGACAAGTGCACAGAGATACGTGTGCGTTTGTGTATTACCTAACTGGCATATAATGATAATAATATGATATTATGAATTATTACAATAATATATTATATCAGAGGGAGGTACGCATAGGACACACGCTCACGTCACCGACGTGCGCATATGTGTAAATAGACCGCGGCGGACAGAGTGTCTTGCGAGACAGTGTGTTGGTGGGTCGTCACTGACTCGCGGCGAAAAAGCGACTGAATTTTCTGTCGGGGGGTCCCCGGGACGGCGGGATGCCGCGATGCTGCGGGTGCTCCGCGCTGGCCGACGCCGCCGCCGCCGGTGGTGGTGCCGGAGGATTACCGCTCTTCTGCCGCCGCCGCCGCACGGAGCGAGAGGGAGAGAGATGGAAACGGAGAGCGAGATCGCTCACACGCACAAACGTGGCCGCCCCGGCGGCGCGGCGTGCACCACGCACACACACGCACCCGAATCGCGCTCCTATTAATATACGCGGTGCGTGTACGTGTGCGTGCGTGTACGTGAACGTGTGCGTGCGTGTACGTTATCGTGTGCGAGTACATGATATAATATTATAATATTATAAATGGTGGTCTATGCCCCACCCGCGGTATTATAATATGTCCAAATGTATTAATTAAATCCGAGAAACCGACACATATGGTTCGGCGTCTATAGTCGGACGGGGTGGTACGAAGACGAAAGGTTCTGGACCGAGAATTTAATATAATAATATTATAATACATTAATATTACACAATGTGATATTATATACATCACATAACGACGTTATTATATATTATTATAAAATATAAATGTTGTGTTATATGGTACCTAAAATGTTAGCCAGCGTTGAACATTCCAAGGCGATTCCAGGAATCTCTCTCTTACCATATGCCATATACATTATATTATTATATTTTATTATATTAATAATATAATGGTTTGGTTTGGTACATAATGCGCAACGTGTTATGATATTATTACCATTTACCTACCTACTGAACGAGAAAATTGTCGTACAGACATTTACAATGCTATAATTCTCGTCAGCTGTGCAATAAGGCATTGCAACGGTCCAATTATTTAAGGGCGTAATTTTTAGGCATTTCCTCAATGCAGAGCACAAACTAGTAAAAAATGTTAGTTAATTTTAACATTTTGATCTTTATTCGTATTAACTTGATTGATTTGTATTGATAGTAATGACCTAATATAGTAAATACTTTCAATCAAATCCAAGTTTCGTTTATTTGTGAATTATTTAATAGTAGGTACACCACGATATGATTATTGATGATACACAGTGTAATATGTATAATAGGACATAAAAAAGGTAATTCTTAAATAAAATTAACTTATTTTTAATACATTTATTTTAAACTATCTAGTGGCTATTTATATAAATATTAAAAAAAATTAACTTAACTCGAAATAGTAAGTTAATTGTTGGTATCTATAAGAATCTTAATTTAACCGAGTCAAAAAATAGCAAGAACTTGCCCCCGTACAGCCATAAAACCAAAGACCATTGGGTAAACTTATATACCTAATAGTCATTGCATGTGTAATTCTCTGCTATAAATGGCTGACTGATAATATCCAGTCCTGCAAAATATCAATTAGCAGCAGTTAAAGTATTGTGCTTCATACTTAAAACAATATATTTTTATTTATTTATTATTAGTTAATAATTTAACACCCATAAAATGTAAAATATAGGTCGAATATAAGTGTATAATTTAGTATATACATTACGTATAAGTGAAACAATCAGTTCTAACGAACTTGTATTCAATAGAAAATATACATTCTCAATTTAGAAATTGATACAAAATTTAAATTAAATTTGTTTGTGTTTCATTACACAACTTAGACATAGATACAATATTACGACTCGACCACATAAACAAATTTAGTTTTGTAAGTATACAATCACAAATTAATCAAAGTTAAGTAACTCATGTCTCATAAAATATGGACACTTCATTTTAACACCAGCTCACTTATGTATACTTCAAAATAAACTTTGAAACATGTTAATAATATTTAATATTTCGTGCACCAATGTAATAACGAACTAATAGCGAATTGATTTCAAAAATTTATATTATATTCTTACTATTTAAAAAACGTTATAAAGGAAATTAATTTAAATAATAACTTAAATAACCGAGGGACAAACGTCCTATATACAAATATAATTAAAATACGCTGAAGACCAAAGTCCTATATGGCTATAATAACTCCCGAGGTTAATGTCCTATCTTAATATTTCAGGGGTCAAAACGTCCGTGAACTCAATTTTTTTAAAGGGACGAAACGCCTTAGGATGTCATAATATATTATATTACACCTATTATGTATAGGTAACATACAATTTTTCTTTATCTCATTAACGAGAGGAAAAAAATTAGCCATCATTCCAATTTAATACTTAGGAATGTTGATAGCAACTTAAAATATAATTGTTAATATATTATAGCTTACATATTATTTTTTTGTTACTATAGACATTTTAGTAAGTATCAATAGTATCTTACCAAAGGGGTTACGGTAGTAACTAGTAAATTAATATGAATATATAGTGGTTAGTAAACAAGTGCCCTTGTATACGTATATCTATATCAAGTTATTAAATGTAACTATAACCAGTAAACACCAAACAATAGGTACCTACTGTAAGTCTGTACGGTCTGCACTAATATGTATTGTGAAGCAGACAAATTATTAATGTTGTTGATATTATACAAATTAGTATATTTTTCGTTCATTTAATTTCCATATATTTTTTCCTATGTCAACATTATATTCATTTTTATACGAAATGTCACATGACGTTAATTCTATAGGAATAATGTACCTATTGACATAATATACGTTTGTTAATCACGATTGAAAAAAGCTATAAATCATAAAAGTAATTTAACACATTTCACTGACGACAAATTATTATTTTCTATAAAGACACCCAAAGAAAGAAATAAACACATTATTGAATTTATAATTTGTTATACTTAAATATAATAACTATACATTTATTACCGTAGAGTTTGGGATGGACAAATAAAATAACACTGTAACTGACCATTTATTGAATTTCTTATTCAATTAACAGAATATGTTAACTGTGATTATGGAACGAAAATAATTACCTCCCTAAAATTAACAGTACCTATAGGTACAATACTATATATTCCGGGGAGCTGTAATGGAAATCGCGGTTCTCTCCCCAGTCCTCTATAATACGAAAACAAAAAAGGTACAACACTATAAGTATTTGAGTTAGTTATACAAAAACTACTAGGTAGAGGGTAAAATGGATATTTTATAAATTGCCTAGACATTACTTAAAACGATATACTCGTATGACCCAATTTGTTATCACTTATCAATTTGAATTCAAAATATCCACTATTATAGTAGTATAGGTAATAGGTATAGGTAATAGGTATAGGTAATAGGTATAGGTATAGGTATAGGTATAGGTATAGGTATAGGTATAGGTATAAGTTTAGTATAAATAAATTAAATTTATTGAAAAAACTGGGTACTTAACAATGTTGTGCCATGATCTGCTGGTATTTTGTTAGAGTTCATTGAGTAAAGACGTTTTACATTACTGTAGTACCTAATCTTCATTAAAAACCATACTTTGAATTTTAAAAAAAATTCTGTTTTATGTTATTTACAATTAAAAGGTTACAGAATTTTTGCGTTTATCGTTATTCAGAATTAAAACGTTATCCAAGTTTATCGTTTATCGTTATTTAAAATAGTGTTAATATACCTATTAAATTTAAAAATAATAACTAACGCGGGTAGGTAATGGCCCGGATACGGAATATAATATAATCAGTTATTAGACTGTTTGCATGAAATAAATGTTTCTACGAAACTAAAAGACATTTTAAATAAATGGATTTTAAATTATTTCGTTTATTTTTCGTTCAATGATATTCTATAAATTACGTTTTGCGTTATGTTTTGTTTAATGATAAGCATATAATATATTTTGTTAATCGTTATGTTTTGTTTTGAGGTAGGTACCTATTTAATTATTTTTGATTATTGCTTTCAGTTATAATTAAGTTAAACATTTTCAATCGTTTATTTGTCAAATTTAACGTTTCTGTAACCCTGTATTCTGTAATAAAAATGAATTAATTTTACGAAGAATTAAAAAAAAATTCACTAAAATTCAAATAAAAACAGTAAATCCTAGTGAATGGTATGATGCTATTTTGTAACAAATATTCGCAAAAAAAATTAGAATAAAAAGTCCTGGAGTTTACTGGTTATTAAACAGGTAATTTAATTATAAAATAAATATTTCAACGAGAAACAACCAAATAAACAATTAAAATTGTATGTTTATAAATTTGATGTAGGTATTGATGGTGAAAAATAATAAGTAGGTAGTTCAGATTTCCAATGAAAAAGAAAACTATGAAATGTAGGTCTATTATGTTATAGTGTTCAACTGATAGCGAAGTATATACGAAACATTTCTCGTGGGTTGCCATAATTATCACACATTTAAAATTAGAACATGATCAGTTTATAGTATTAGTACTTATATAATTCAAGGTTTTATGGGTATCTCCTTACAAACCATATCTTGTATATATAGGTACTTATTAAGGATACTTCACCTATTCGAGTGACGTGCAGGTTCATCTTACAACTTACAAGACAGACATGCTGAATTTAGATCACCTGAACGGTAGGTACATCTAATAGTGAACCTTACTCAGAGTCTAAGGGAAACAAAAATGAAAACTAATTTTCAGAACCATTTTCTCCCATTTAGTTCGGGGGGTTTTATACAAACATGCACCATATAATAATATATAATTTCTCTTACATAGGTACTTATTTCAGCCAAAATGAATTCCGCATAACGAGGAGCATCTGAAGATGGGTCTTCCTACTCTCCCCACTCCTGTTGTACTAACTTCTTAGTGGG